CAATTTCTTGTTATAAGGCCCCTAAAATACAAACTTCTTGGTGTAAGGCCCCTAAAGTAAGCTTCAGAGTACACAGGCTTGGCCTGGCGATAACCCAGCAGGATGTGTCGTCGATGTAGGAGAGGCCAACCCACAGCGGTGACCAAACCTTCCCAGACACACTCAAAAGAGCTGAGGGCTTCGGATTAGGGTGTTGGGTTTACGGTTTAGGGTTTAGGGCCTAAAGTTGAATCAACAACATCCCAAACAGAATCGCTACTAAGACTGAATGCTTGTGGACACTGATTGAAATATCTTGGACGACTGTTGGTCGCAGAAGCTGTAGACTCAACCGGCATGTCATTCGTTCTGAGTTGAGCATGGGGATTGTGTTTTCGTATGTGTGTGTGTACGAACCCTTGGTTGATGCACATACTCATAGCGCAGTGAACCTGAACTGCAAAGACCTCAAAACCGTTACTGGAGCAGTTGCGTGGCCGCTCGCTGAGGGCTACTGGGCTCGAGCTGTACAGCCCTTCCGTTGCAAGCTGTGACAACCGCAACTCAAGAACCTCATGGTAAACGCTTCATTCTACAATGGAGACCATAGCTATGTGCTTCGGCAAATAGCAAGAACAAATCGAACATACCGTAAGCCTCGAAGCCTTCAAAGGCTTACACTGGCCCTACACCTGTACGCCCGAAGATTCGTCCTGGCCACCAGGGTCATTAAGGTTTTGCGGCTTCGGATTTGGCGCTTTAGGCTTTCCACGGATTCGGAGTTCAGGGTTTCTGGCTCTGCATTTTGAGGTTGGCAACATCCGGGCCACAGATTCAAATCATGTCTGAAAATCGTGCGTCCACCAGGTGCTTCCACTGGTTTCTGTACAAAACCGACCGAAAGATTCATGATTCGTGTGCATGCAACGCATGATTTTGTGGTTTCATTGTCCAAGCTCCAAGACGCACACCTTTACCTATAATACCTTGAAAGAAGCCCTAAGTTCGGTGAAGTTCCGGGCAAGAAAGCCTAAACCCTCAACCCTAAACCCCAAACCCCAAACCGAAAAAATCGGCGCCTTCATCAGATCCCACTTCTTCCAGCTGGGCGGGTAGCCGGCCATGAGGAAGTGGCGGCTCATGTCGGCCTGGTTTGTCTCACCGCAACTATACTACAAGCTACGATGAGATACTATAATATTGGACTCTAAAGTTGGTCTATATTAGAACATATACTACAAGATACGATGAGATACTCTAACACTCGATTCTATAGTTCTGAAATGAAAAAAGTATACGACAAGATACGATGAGATTCTCTCATATTGGATTCTATAGTTGGTCCTGCTCTGTCTCACTGCGCGAGTCGCGATGATCGCAGCACGGCGCTGGTGTTGCTAGGAAACTGGTGACTTAGTTGTGGTGCTGGTACTGCATGGTGCTGCTGGTGGCGGCAAAAACCGTGATGGAGGCTCCAGCAAAGGTAGACAAGCTGTTAGGGTTTAGAGGTCAGGGTTTAGGGGTTTAGCGCGACAAGGGGAAGACTACGACGGCGATCACTGCCGTCACACGTATACATGAGCACATACAAGCCTTGCCAGGTAAACAACACCTTCTAAGGTCGACCCAGAACCTACGCTTCCCACATGTCCGATTCTGTAACGAGGAATCCTGTTGAATGTCGAAAGCTACTTCAAAAACAATCGACATGTCGAGTCCCCTTTGATAATATTTTTGAGGAATGGAACCCCTGACCGGCAACCTCTAGACAAATCTAATCCTAAACCCTAGACCGCACCTCCTTACGAAGTTACTTAGTAGAAACCTGCACCCAAACTTGTAAACCCAAAGCGCGAATCCCAAACCATACCCCAAGCCCTAAACCTTCGGCCCTAAACTCTCTAGCAAAAACCAACAAATCCTACATCCAAAATCCTAAACCCTAAACACCGAAACCCTAAACCCCGAAACCCTGAAACCCTAAACCCCACATCCCAAAACCCTAAACCCTGTTAACAAAAAATAATCCCTGAAAGCCGGAACCGTGGCTGCCCGCACCTCGTCCCTGCCGCTGAGATTTATCACGTTGGGCTGCGCCTTCACCAGGCGTATGCCTGGAAAGGCCCATCGGATTCATGTCATAGTGTATTTAGGGTTTAGGGTTTAGGGTGTATTATATGTTTTCGACTAGATGATTGAGTTAAGACTTAGGTTAGACTAGATTTTGGCTGGATCAGGTTAGCTTCTCTTCGACTATACGATAATTTATTTACAGTACATCATATATATATATATACTTTGTTCTGTTCATCTATTTATACTGTAAGGCCTCGGTAGTTCCAATAGGGTTTGGAGGTCAGTACTACTATTGTAAACTTATACCATCTTATCCCATCTTATATCTATAGGGACTACCGGAGCTCCTGTTACCAGTTATTCCTGCCCGCATGGTAAACACATAGTACTAAGCCAAGCAGAACCTACATTTTTGTGTAGGGTCCCTGGGCCTTACAAGAAAGTAAGAGGAAGGACAAGGTAGAGACCTGAATAATCAGGGCCATTACTCCCTCAGTATCATTATATCAAGATTCTATGTTTTACTTTAACTCCTGAAACCCTAAGATACTTGTAAATGTAAGATCCCTATGGTAGCAGTGCGGGTTTGAAAGTCGAAATATCGAACCGGTGGTTTTAGGGATTTTAATGTTATAAAGGTGGAAGGTGCAGTGCCGTCACCTCTACACCGAAAACATACCCTCAACAGGATTAGCACTTGATTTAGGGCAGCGGGCTTGGTTTTTTGCATCCTAACTAGTGGGTCAGTCGGTATACGCCATGCAAAGTAGCGTGAGGGACACAGCGAATACCCGGACCCGAACCTCAGAACACCGACCCACCCTAAACCCTAAACTCGAACTAAGCTCCTGAACCCTACGCTTCAGCTAACCCCCACAAAGAGCATCTCAACCCAAACAAACCCAACGCCGCAAACTTTCGACCCCTGGCTGCGCAAATCCAAAATTTGTACCAAACCGTGGACCAAACCACGACAACTCCAAACCGTGGACATCTAGCACTAAAACCCCCAGCCACCACCACACAAAAATATTCCGTTATAGTCCCCATTATAATCACCGTATGATATATCCCCCTCCCTCCACACCCTTATTCGGGCCCCCTCTACTAGCCTGAGAAGCCGAATCAAAGCACTGAAAATCTGGATAGGGTTGATGGTTTAGGGGTTTAAGGGTGTGTGTATGTATGTATGTATATGTATACATAATGATTGAAAAGATCGAAAAATAAGCAAAACTCACAAAAAAACATATCCGAATCCCAAACCCGGACCATGAAAGCCACAGACGACAAGGCATGCAAGCACACACCTATCCATGTTCTACTTCGAACATCCCCACCCTACAGACAACACCACTGACTGGCTTTACGGTCGTGGGGTACCCGTACACGGAACAACGCACGAGTGATAGATTCAGGTCAGTCGACGATCCACGGAGTCACACCACTGACTGGCGTTACGGACGTGGGGTCCCCGTACACGTACCAACATACGTGTTCGATTCATGTCTCACGGTAATCTCGGGGGTTGGGCACTCCAGGAGTCTCACGGTAGTCTCTGGGGGTGGGCAGGAGGGGGGTAATAGCTGACTTTAAAATCTAACAAGCCCACACACGATAAAAACACTGCCCCAAAACCCGCAGAGCGCTTGGGCTCCCTGCGGTTTACGGACAAGGGAAGCATCTCCTCAGCTGCTCTCTGCTCTTCCCTAAACCCTAGACCCTAAACCCTAAACCCTAAACCAAGCTTAAGGCCCCAAACCCAAAAGCCCTAAACTTATTTTCCTGTCCTGCAGTTTACGGGATGAAGGTTTCTCTTCCTCTGAGCGCTTGAGAGTTCAGGGTTTCGGGCTTGGGGTTTCGGGTTAGGGTTTATATAGTTTGTGGCCAGGATTAAACGGTTCAAGGTTTGGGGCTTGGGCGGGGTAGTCGACGCTGCTTTCTCTTCTCAAGCACGATAGGCTCAGGGTCACTCTATAGGTGCTCTTGGGGTTCAGGGTTCATGCATCGCACAAGATTTGTGCACCACAAATCGTTGACTGTGACTTCGTACTGTCAACGCCTATCTGAATCCTATAACACCCAGTCCCCACGATGCCTATGTACGCCTCCTAAACCCAGAGCCATGTGACGAGCTTGACTCGATGTCTTGACCGCATGTTCAACAAAGGCTTGCGCAGAAACAGGGGCTGAATCCGGAAACCAGTTCGTCGGAGGAAATGACCACCCCTTCAGTGTCGCATGTGTCGTGCGGCTGCAATGAGCTAGCGGAGGTCGCAGCGCTTACACTTACACCGTATTGATTTCTCAGTCCCATAGTAAACGGTTTGTTTGTATGCCAGTTTCTGCAGGACTTGGCCGGTCAGCAGCAATTAAGATGCAACGCCTCATTGTAGAGTGCTGTCACTCAAACCTGGGTACATGGGGCTTCATACGGGCTCCATATTGGTTCTACGCCAGAACCGTCCGCTAAGCCCGACTTGAAGTCTGAGCATTAAACATCGTTTTCCTAATTGCTCCAGGGCCCAAAAAACACCAAATGAGGTTGATTGTACAAAGGTTCCCTGCTCAACTGCAACCCTAAACCCTAAACGCCTTAACCCCAAACCCCATGGCACCTTAATCTGCAGCCTCCTTAAACCCTAAACCCTGTGAACCCTAAGCCCTAAACCCTAATCCCTAAACCCTGAACCCCACCACGGCCTCCTTTCTTTCGATGTGCTGCCGGGTCTCCGTCAGCGACCGGCGCGGATCGTCCGCTGCACGTTTTCGAAGCGGGCCGAAGTCGACCTGCTTGCGTAGGTCTTGCTTTCTTGTCATTTGCCTAAGTCCAAGTATGTACATATATGTATATATGTTTTGATTCTAAGTAGAGTTATACATATATAGCCATATGTTTGTGTATATATATATATATATATTGTTATATCACTTCTGATTGTGTATCCATATATATATATATATATACATGTGTATACATATTATATATATATATATGTAAGTATGGTCTTATATATACGTATACACAGACATACTATAGCACCTATACTTATAACTTATAGTTTGGTGTCTAAAGTCTGTAAAGCGTACCTGCTTTGGGCTATTCGGAAGCATGCCCGCTATGGAGTGAAGCCCACTACAGCTCGCAACTTGATATTCAAAGGCGGTATCAACCACGTAGCTCCCTCACAACTCCAACCTACCCACCTTAGCCCCAAGACATCTAGCCACCCAAGCCCGTTTCACCCAACCCTTCAACCCCTTCAACCCTACTCAACTCTAAACCCTAAACCCTGAACCCCAAAAAGCCCGATACGCCCTATGAAACTTACTAGAAACCCTATAAGCCCTTACTAGAAACCCTAAAAGCCCTAGACACCAAACCTCCTCCTCCCGGGCCCCCGAGAGAAAGCCTGCTCCCAGGGTATCCGCTTCTTCCCAAGGATGTGGGACATCTGATGCACGAGAACCTGTCGACGGATCCTTTCTTTGGACCTTTGGGGTTAGGGTCTTAGGGCTTAGGGTTCGGAGTTCAGGGCTTCAGGGTTTCGGGTTTACGGAAATAGGCCCTAGGATTCGGGATATGAGCGGTGAGTAGTTTGGGCTTAGGGGTTTAGGGGTTGCAGGCTCCGGGTTCCAGCAGTTTAAAGCTTCTAGAATTGATCGTCCCCCCCCCACTAACCAGGACAACGGCAGAGGGTATTAAAGGGTCTGCACAACGCGCAGAGGACATGGGTATTTGAGAGCTAAGTCTAGAACACGTCTTTCGACATATGGGCTGTAAGGGTCATGGGCTCCAAAAGCTTATAGGTTTTGGGGGCTTGTCGCCCCAAAGATCATGGTATCCCAAAGAAAACCTAAACAGGCCGTAACCCTAAACCCCAAACCCTAAACAGGCCCTAAACCCTAAACCGTTCGGCGAACTTCCAAGAGCTCGGGCTTCAGAGTTCGAGCCGAAACAGTCAGAATGAGGCTTAGGAGGTTAGGGACCCACAGATTATCGTTTACCTTAACCTACCAGAACCTACTTTTTTGTAGGGTCCCTATAAATCCCATATTAGGGTTTATAATAAGAACCTACAAAAAAGTGGGTTTTGGTAGGTTGAGGTAGGGTTAAGTTTAGGGATATTAGGAATCAAAAGGTTGGATTACCAGTAAAGCGAGTCCTACTGGCGGAGGAAGGTACTCATAACACTAGTTGCAATACATCGAATTGCAGACACGGTGGTCAGACCCCACTCTCCACGGGCATAGTCCGTGCTTCCCAGTCGTCCCACCGTCTGCATGTCCAGCGGACCGCATCATCAGAACAGCGCAGCACGGGTCGGCGTACTGGCCTCGGTTGTTCATGTGCGCTGAGTAGCTCCGCCATCTCCCAACGCTGTCGCTCAGGTGTCTCGGTCGCACTGCTTGGCAAGGGAACGGATATGATGGTGGAGGCGCCCTGGTTCAATCAGACAAATTGCTGTGCTTTGCGGTGCGGCAGGGTGGCGTGGCGGGAGGGGGTTAGGGCTTTCCTAACGCCTGTGAGGCTCTAAGGAGCTGTAGGATCGAGCAGCGCGACACCTCTTTGTACCCTGGCAGATGGCCTTCGGAGGGCCACAATCCACAGTCCACTGCTGTTATCAATCGAAGCGGGGCTAAAGCATGACCTTTAGGGTTTCGGGCGTGGAAAGATTCGAAGCTTCAGGGACACCGCCCTGAGGCAATCGCAGGTTTCAGGGACCCGTGCCCTGAGGAAAGCAGCTAAACAGGCCGTGATCCAAAAGCATGCGCTCACCAGAAGTAAGCGTTTGTACAAACCATGATTTGTAAGCATGCCTTGGCTCTCACAGAATAAACCCTAAACACTATAAATCCTAAACCCTCAAGCCTAAATCATAGTCCTCAATTAAGGGACTGTGGGCGTCTGGGGAGAGCCAGCTTCTGTGGGCCCCGCCATCGCCGTCATCAGCGCGTCGTAGCCGGCCTGGCGCCAGGGAACTCTTGTACCCTAAATCGCTCCATTGTAGTTCCTTTAAAGGGCTCTTCATGGGTTCTATGGGGTTTTCTGTAAGGTGGTAGGGTTCCTATAGTCTCCATTGTAGTTGCGTTTGGTGTTCTTTTCTGGGATCCGTAATATATTAATGGACACTATAGGTAGTATGCTTGCGGGGTTTAACAGGTTAGGGCTTTACTTTGAGGTTTAGGGGTTTCCAAGGTTTTGGGCCTAATTAAATTAGGGTTTATGGATGTTGATACTGCAGTTTTCAAACCTGTAGAACTTCCAAGACTCTCCCTAAGCGTTCTTCATTCTAACTACAGTGCAACATACTCCTATTCGAACTATCAAAAAACCATGCCTTCCTTCAACACTGACGAACCCAAACCCCCAAAACCTAATCCTTGAAGACCCACCCCCGGCTTGAATAGAAGCCGTGACTTCAAGGGCTTTACATGTCTGTGCAGGGCTTCGATGATGCAAGGAGCTGAAGATCACTTAGCCTGGAGTTTGGTTTCCAGGATCCTGAAGCCTTACACAAAGATCACTTCTGGATAGAAATTTGGGTCTAGGGTTCAGGGGTTTGCGGTCTTGGGCTTCTGTCAGAGCCTAGGGGGGATTCCGCCGACGTGCTTCAAGGGCATGGCAGTGTCCAATTACGGTTAAGGTTTAGGGTTTAAGTTTTAGGGTTGTGGGTCAACTACATGGCTACTTGGTCCGGGCTCACAAGGACTATCCGGCTTGTGCTTTCCAAGCCGACACCTGGACTGCACCCTGAACCCGCAGCCGCAACAGGTCCGGAAGTTGTTTCACATCGATTTGGAAATTTCCGACCAATAAGGGGGTACCGTATTTTGGGGTCCTTATAATAAGGATCCTATTATTTAGGGTACTATATTAGGGCCCCCTATTTTCAGAAACCCCCATTTGGAGAGAACCAAAGCTCCACGATGCACCCGAAGTCGAATGCTGCTACGTATGAAGGCATCGCAAACCCTAAACGTCATCCATGCGTTTCAGGAAACCTACGACCAATCCCAACACCAACTGGCCACCAGCGGGATCGGCTGATATGGTATGGACAGGTTGGCTGAAGGGCTGGATGGTCACTAGGTCCAAGAGTGCAGGATTTATGGCCCTAAAACCCTAAACCTTGGACCCCAAACCGTTATAGGTTTTAGGGCCTCACCTGATGCCCGCCCTCCTAAGGATGCCCCAAGATTGATGATGCACTCCCCGTGGACTCTTCACCCTAACTAGGCCCCAAGGCCATCTTAGTTTCCTGGCACCTCGTGCGATGCATCCGTGTCTTCTCCGGAAACCGGATCACCTCGACGGCTTCAGGGCTTTTGGGTTTTTCTGCCAAGGATCTATAGCGTTTCTTCGGGGTTCGAAAGAGATTCGTTTGGGTTTTAGTTGTGTTCTATCGGACTTTATCGCGACTCCCTTAGAAACGCTATTCGTTCTTCCATCCCTTGCTTTTGTTACCCTTGTCTACATCTTGACCAACCTTGCGCCATGGTTTGGTCACACACCACACGCCTCACGCGTGTCGCATCCCTGTTTAAATGTTTGAGGATGTTTGGGGGTGATACTATAAGTATGTGGGGGAACACCGGGGCGGGGGGATGGATTGGCAGATTTTTCGGGCCCCTGGCCTAAACCCTACAAGCCCTACCCCAAACCCTAAACCCTAAACCCCAAACCCTAAACCCCACAAGCCCTAGATGCTGCCAGGTCGCCCGAAGAACCAGTGGCCCGGGGCTGGGGCAACTTGTAGTCGGCGTCCGTCAAGGTGTTGACCTCGCCGTCGCTTGACAGGCTCGGTTCGAGATTCTCGGATATTTAGGCCCCAAACCCTAAACCCTGAACCGTAAATCCCTAAATCCTCATACCCCTACCAGCCCCTAAACCCCTAAATCCCTGAAGTCCCTAAACCCCTAAATCCCTGAAGCCCCTAAACCCCTAACCCCTAAACCCTTAAGTCCGGGATAGATAGAAACTGTTAATTCTGACGCGCATGGCCATACAGATTCCTGTATCATGGCTTTGGCTTTCAATGTTTGACGGACAGAATCGAAGCACCGAGACGAACCATCCAGAAACACATGTGTGGGGTTTAGGGCTTACGGTTTAGGGTTTGGGGTTTGGGTTTAGAATTAGCGTGTAGGGTTTAGGCTTTCAGGGTAGAAATATAACAACTTTAAACTTCAAAGTTAATGTTTTGCCAGGGGGCTTGACTCTTTCCGGAATTGTGTTGCCGGAGCTGGTTACCTATACCCAAGTGTCAAAGGGCAAAGCCGTCTTGAAGGGCAAAGCAAAAGGCGAAACCCGCCCAAGACTCGGGACCCTGTACCCAAAACAATTTCTGCAAACCCCAAAGCCAAACCCCAAACACGAAGTAAACCGCAACGCCAAACCCCAAACACGAAGTAAACCCCAAAGCCAAACCCCAAACACGAAGTAAACCCCAAAGCCAAACCCCAGGCCCCAAACACGAAGTAAACCTGTCCCCGCCCCAATCCGAAACGCCTCGAAGGTGACGGGCAGCGGCCCGGGGCTCGACTCCGTCTTCGAGGCCTTGCAAGTTCACTGTTCCGGTTTCGGGTCTAGCGAAATTAGGCGCCTGGATAATTAGAATAGGGCTTTGGGCTCCTTCATAGTCGAGTTGCGACAGGGAGCCCTAAGGAAGAATATTGGAAATTATGTCGGCTTCTGCATTAGCGTTGGTTGGGGATTCGGAGATTTCACTTGTAAGATCCGGATGTCACCGCACTGAGACAACATATCTGGGTCGCAAGGTGTTGCTACAGGGTCGGATGGATTACGGGTCTGGGTTTAGGATTGCTAAATGCCCAGGGCTTGGACATGGAACGTCGGCGGTAACGACGGCAAAGCCTGAAACCGTAACAGACAGTCCGACAGCCCCAGTTAAGAGTACAGATAAACGACAAAACAAGCATAGCTCCGCCCAAACTCTGAAACCAAACCCACCGCCAAACCAGAGAAAACCAAAAGTAACAAACCTTAAAACCCAAACCCGAAACCTCTAATCCTCTAACATCAAAAATCCCGAACCCTGACACCGGAAACCCACCCTTCAATCCTAAACCCTAAAGCCTATAAGCTCTAGAACCTAAACCGGAAGCCTAAACCCAAAGCCCCTAAACCCGCAAACCCGTAAGCCCCACTTCAATAAAGAAGGCCTTAAACCTTAAACCCCTAAACCCCTAAAGCCCCTTAACCCCTAAACCCCTAAAGCCCCCAAACCCCCAAACCCCTAAAGCCCCTAAACCCTAAACCCCTAAAAGCCCCTAAACAATTAAACTAAACCCTAAACCCCTAAACCCCTAAACCCTGCCTGCACCATGAAGTCGCAGAGACCCTTGAGGTTGGCGGGCGGTTGCAAGCCCACAAGCAGCTCATGGGCCTCCCATCCAGGAAAAAAACACTGCTTTTTAAGGGAGTTTAGGGTTAGGGGTTTAGGGTTTAGTTTAGGGTTTAGGTTTTTTATGGGAGTTTAGAATGTTTGCAAGAAAGGTTTCTACTATCTACAGTTGTCCTCGTAAGGTCGTGTTTACGGCTCTGACGTAGGTTCTAAGTCAGTGGCAAGTGGCGCTAACCGTATCGCGATGACGACAAGTGGCTGTTGAATCATTGCTGTGTCATTAATGTATACAGATGAACATATTCATACTGACATTAGCATCATGATTCCCGTTTTTGAAAATGGTATTGTTTTCTCGTTGTTTTCCTTCTTGCGGCTGTTGCTGCTGCTATCTGTAGTACTACCAGTGAGTGTTTATTGCTGCTGGGTGTCGTGGCACCTACAGTCATACAAGAGTGGTATCATTATCCTTTGTGTTTGCTGAGTTACTCGGTCGTGGTGCTGTCCATTGCTGATCACTGAGCTGTGCCCTTTCTCTTGCGGTGAGGCAAGGATCTTGGTTGGGTTTTGGGGTATGTTGTAGTATGACTATCTTTGGACTACAGCAAGGGGGCAGTACTCTGAATGCCTCTGTATCTACGCATGCCCCGAACCGCCTCTGACAAATATTCGTAAAGAGGATCCTTAAGCCCAATGCAGGAAAATGTAACAGATCCCAAAAGCCTACCTGGGCATCCTTGAGGACTGGGTCTCTGTCGACTCGAGATTTTGAGGGCCTTGCGATTTAACGACCTAGGTGTTCCCAGTGCATCACGCCTGGATACTTTGCCGGTGCTATGATACAGTAATCTCGTTTAGGGCGAGCAACTAGGGATTCCGGTTTCGTTATTAGGGATTACTGTGTACAGTTTAGGGGGTAGGGTTTCGGGTTTAGGAAGCAATCACGCCCAACTGCAAATCCCAGGGATAGGCTCGAGCTACCTTAGACGGATGACTGCAAAGATCTCTCCGAATGTGTCTATGCCGATGCAAGTGAAGCATGCCCAGTTGTGTAGGCTCAATGTCCTGAACCCTCAAAACCCAAACCCTAAACTAACCCTAAGCCCTAAACCCCTAAACCCTAAGCCCCCTAAATCCTAAACCCTGAAGCTGAAACCCAAAGCCCTAAACCCTCGAACACCTCGTCGGCCTCAAACCTGTAGGTGATGGTCTTGCCAAAGGATCCTAAACCGTATAACCCTAAACCTCTAAACCCTAAACCCACTGTATACTTACACAAGGTAGTTCCTAAAAAGAAATCCTAATTTTGTCCGATGTTGGTACTTAAATCCCTAAACCTTAAACTTTAAACCCTCGCCTAAATCCAAAACCCTAAACCCCTTTAACCCTTGGGGGCTTCCGAAGCCCATCGGCTTACCTCTGCCAAGTATTTAGTGTCCAGGGTCTGCGGAAAGAGCTGAAGCCACGATGCCTGCCGCAAACTCCAGGATCCTAATGTAGGGGCCTTTATAATTAGAATAGGGTTTGGGGTGGTATATTCTACTACAATTATATTGAGGAGCCCCCAAAATTGTATAGGTAATTGTTAAGGCCCCTATGTTATGTTTGTTGTGTTTTTAAATACAGCCCCTGGTATTGTATCAACTCCAATAATGATGGAGCATGCGGTCCTGTCCCTTTCCCATGTACTGTACTTGCACCTGTCAGAGTTGATGCGAGATGTAAACCCTTAGGCTCCAAGTATACAAATAGTACCTGCGATGGGGTCTAAAGCCGAAAACAAGTAAATGACCTTTGTGGACTTACAGTAGAATGTTAGGGTTTTGAGGCATAGAATATGCCCCACCCCCAAATTAGGGTAAAGTACTTTCATGGTTTAGAGTTTATTACTTTAGGGTTCCGCGCGTTCAGGGTTTAGGACTCTAGGGTTCTAGGGTTTCAGGGTTTAGGGTTTGGGCGGCTTGCTTGGGGTTACGATTTTGGGGTTTGGCGTTTGACCTATTTTTCCGAAACCAATGACCTGACCCTAAAATCCTAAACCCTAAACCGACTCTATCGTCGCATTCTGATGACATGGACACCAGCATAAGCCGTCACTACTTGTAAGAAACCCCCCTATCGCTTTGGAGCTTGGCTGTTGATGATATAAATCCTGCATTACCGTAAGGACCCTGAACTATGGGAATTATGGTATATATTCCTTATTATGGGCAATGCAAGGTTTTTATCATCAACGTAGGGAGTCTTCATACTGATTCAGGTCATGGGCTGCGGGAAGAAAGTTTCAAGGGCATTCGGCTGAGGCTGTACATGGTTTAGGGTTTAGGGTTTAGAGTTTTGGGGTTTGGGGCTTCAAGGGACAAGGTACAGGTCGACCATATTCAGGTATCACTGCACTCCACGACTGAGCAAGTGCCCCACACATCTGTCTGACCCGATCCCTGAGGAAACCCTCATCACTGCCGACTCCCCAAACCCACCCTAAATCCGAAACCCTGCTCTAAAACCTGGACCCCATCCCTAAGCCAGGCAGTCTGTTGTTCACTGTGGCCCCTCCGGAACGCAGCCATCAGTCGTGCGCTTCCATCAGAATCTAAGTCCCGCCTCGCCCTCGAAAACCATACCTGTATTCAACTTCAAAAAGCAATATACGTAACCCCTAAACCCTAAACCCTAAATCCAAAACCTATGAATCCTTCTCCCTAAACCCTAAATCCTAAACCTATGAATCACAAACCTATGAACCCTAAACCTTTGGACCCAAACCTATGAACCCTAAACCTATTAACTCTAAACCTATGAACCCTAAACCTGTGAACCCAGCGTCGATAACACGGGAGCTGCCTTAAAGTCTTGGATGCTCTCAGGGAGATCGGCGTAGAAGGTCTGGTAAAGGTGCAGGAAGTCGTAGAAACCTCAGTCTTGCAGCAGGTTAGCGTTCAGCGTTTAGGGTTTAGGGTTTAGGGGTTTCGGGGTTTGGGGGTTTAGGGTTTAGGGTTTCGGGTTTAGGGTTTAGGTGCTTGAGGAATGTAGGACACCCGTGAAGCTCGTGGCTGTGGCCTTCGGGATGCAAGGCTTTGGTTCGGAGTGGCTCGGTCTCAGGGCCCCTGGGTCGAGGTGGAAGAGCTTCAAGAACATGACCAGAAGGCCATGACATATTAGAACTTGGCCCTTTACCTCCGATTTTTGGGTTTAGGGGGTTTGGGGTTTAGGGGTTTAGGGTTTAGGGGGCCTTGACAATTAGAACTGGGCTTTGGGCCATCTTTAAGAAGGTGCAAAAGGAGTAGTCTTAGCAATTTTAAGGTCCCCCAGAATATGAGGCTTTAACCTCGTTTTTTGGCTGGAAACTTAATCATAAACGCCGGATGGTCCCCAGCATATGAACGGAAATCTCGAATCCGGACAGGCCACTGTACAACTGACGGCCTCAATCCCCAATCCCAGAATCTCATTTGGACACATATCACCGGTCCATAAACCCTAAACCCCTTAACCCCAAAACCCTAAACCCCAAACCCCGAAACCAAGAAACCCTAAACCCCGAAACCCTAAACCTTGAACCCCTAAACCATAAACCCCGAAACCCCTAAACCCTAAAACCTGAACCCGCCAGCCGGCAATATAAACTCTGATCCCTTGATCCCTAAACCTCTCGGCACGCTCGGGTCTGGGTGTCCTTGGGTTCAGGCATAACCCGAACTTGGGGACTCTGAACCTTCCTTCCTTCTAGATGTCTAGGGTTTGGGGTTTAGGGTTTAGAGGTTTAGGGTTTACGGTTGCGCCCTCAATTCCCACCTCTGCCGTGGCCGTCTGCCCCTTTTCGCACTTTCCAAATGTTTATGGCAAGGTTAAGGGGGGCCAGGAGGCCTGGTGAGGGCGGGCCTAGGGGCTGAATTTGACCATTCTCCAATGGCTCCACCCATTGTCC